AATAAATTCAAATTTTGAAATGAAAGATTTACTTAGAGAGACAAAATTATATATTAAAACGTAAGTCATCTTTTAAGAGTGATGTACCCAATTTTTTTCCATTTTTGGCTTATGATTTATTTTGTATCAAAAACTTAATCCGGCTTTTGTGTGAAAAAAATAATAATAAAATATAAGTATATAATAGATATTTTGGCTTTTTTTTTTTTTTGGTTTAACACATGGGTGAAGAGGTAACCCACAAAAAAAACAGTAAATGTAAGAAATGTGAAGAGCCGCCACAGAATTGGAAACAAAGGTGGTTCAGTTGAGTGGGGCTGATCACCTACCTTCTGTGGATATTTACACTTCCGTGCGATATTTGTCTTGATGCTCTCTTTGTATTGTTAGTATAGACTTATGCCGAATTTATGGTACCATTCTTGTTGACAAAATTTGTTTCTTCTTGGCCTAACTTGTCTTAATTTGTTTCTATTTTGTTCTTCTAACATTGTTAACAGCAAAAAAAAAGTGCATAAATCCACAGCAATTTTGGAGGTCAATGTAAAATTGTTCAAAATCACATTAATTGAAAAACTAACTTGGCAATTTTTCTTTCAAATAATCACAACGGGCTTAATATATATTTTTGGAGGTCAATAAATTTTTTATATGAAATATTTATTGTTACTAAAGGAGCACTGTTGCTTTCTCCGATAATATATAGTAATCAGTCATGGTTGGCTCAGTTGACAGTCAGACACAGTCTCACACTGAAAACAGTAAGATTGCAGTAGTGCCACCCCCCTCTCCCCCTACTACTGCAAGTACTGTTCCAAGCCTTCTAATTCAGGGTTGAGTCATGATTGCTTTATCATTGAAACTATAGATATACCAACTTGATATAGAAACAGGAAAGCTTTTTTTCACCCATTTTTTCCTATTATTCATACAAAGATGCTTGAATTTCAGAGAAGGAACATGAAAATTGCTATTTAGTGAGGAAAAGTTTAGACATATTTCAGGTGCTAGAGTTTGGTGCATGTAAGAGAAAGTGGCAATAGTTCATTACAAATTCAATTTTGTTTCATGGATAGATATGTAAAATTTTGATGGTAGCCATACTTCATTTTCCTTGAGATGTAAGGTTTCAAGTTCAATTCTACTTTCTCATCTTTTAAACATAGAAAAAAACTAATAAAAATTTCATGATCATTAGAGTATTATGAAATTAGTAAAAAATCATGTGATTTATTAACAGTCGATTCAAATTAAAAATATATATATTGAAATCAAAATAATGGCAAATGCTAGTTATCTTTGAAGTCTGCTCACTGCTCAGAGCATTACTTGTTTGTGGGTCAGGGACTAGCTAGTAGTGAATTTGGACAAATGGCTTTCCATTCTCTGTAAAAAATTATTAACCAAAGAGGAAATTAATCTTTTTAACTTTGAAATTCAAATTAAACTCAACTTGTTATTATTATTATTTTTGGAAATAGGATACCATCTTGGCTACATGGTTAGTTTACTACCCATTATGGTTGAAAAAAGAAGGAAAAAAATTTGATATTATGATTTATGAGAATGAAAAACAAATTAAAAAAAAAGAGCACTCAAACAAATGAAGTAATCTCTCATGAGAGTAAAATGGAGTATTTAGGACCACAATATTGAATCTCTATCTCAGAGAATTCATTTACGCTAAGACAATCATAAATGTCCTGTTTCCACAAAAATCACAAATTGGTACTGCCGTGTGAACAAAATAATAATTGTCTGGATGAGTTAAGCATTGTCAAAAATGCTGGTGGGAGTTGGAGGTATTTAATGGGAAAGCAAAATTGCATTTAGAAGTTGGAGGTGTTTACTATATACTTCAACAATTTTTAATGTGATTGAAAACCTAGGAATTAGAATTATCAAATCCAAAGAAATTTAACTTGGGTAAAAAAAATATTTCTAATTAATTGTCCAAACCCATTTTATAATTTAAAACGACGTAGTTCAGTAAATTTTTTAACTGTTTTTTGCTTTTTTTTTTATTCCTTATAAGACTTCTTCTCTTTCTCTAAGAATTAAAAAAACAAAAAAAAAGAAAAAAGAAAAGAGTCCTTGTCACATTGGATTGCCCATACGTTGGGGAAGAGGAAAAATAATAACAATAAAAGGCAAATAGTAGTTGAAGGTCACCACTGGATAGGTATTGGTGGGTATAGTGTGTTAAGTTATGGGCATTCACCCAAACCATGTTATGGATATGGGTCGGCAAAAGTAGCTTTACGTGGTAGACTATAAATACTTGTATTTTTGTTTTTATTGTCTTCTACAATCAATTCCAATATTCTATAGTAGTTGATGTAGAAATAAATTATACGTTAGTTATATATTTCTTTTTAATTTATTAAAAACTTCATTTTGAATTCAAATTTTACATTCCGTGAATATTTATATCTCTTTTTTTTTATTGATTCGTTTAGTTGATTTATGGATTTGTTTATAAACTTCACTAATTATGTTAATTCTATATATGTATATTTTTTTTTTCAAAAAAAATGAAAATTTTGTAAACGATTACAAAATTTAATGATTATAATATAATTCTTAACAATTTCAAATGTCAAAAAAAAAATTAACCAAATGTGGGCTATTAAGTATTTCCTTATTATTAAATTGATAGGAGTTGCATGTCTGATTAGAAGTTACATAATTTTCACATGACTTGACCAACTAAATTTAAATATCAATGTTATAATATTTTTTAAATGAAAATTTGCTTCCTTTGTCAATTAATACACCTCATCAAAATGGAGACAAACAAGTTCCCTATTGCTTTTCTTGCAATAGTTAAAAAGAAAATTGGACAAAGTGTAACCATGAAATGGTTTCAAAACATTTATTATGTTAATTTACGAAACCAAGAAGATAAAAAGATTTTGTTTGCCTCATTTTGACTTTGAAACTTTAATTTCTAGGAAGAATTAGGTGAGCAGTCACATGGTGTGGTGGGATACAATTCCCAGAATTTAGCTGGCAAATCATTAAAAGAAGAACAACTATGATAAAACTTCTATAAAGAAAGGGGCAAAAGTTGATCGTAGAGGATCCATGCACCTTTTCTTCCAAATTAATGAACTTTTTGGTAAGATTAGGAAGGTTTGATATTCATCATGCATATGCATGCATGTGTTTGTTTTCTTAACCAAGTAAAGAACGGGAATTTTTTTAAATTTCACCTTATTTTTAGAAAAAAAAAGGTTTATGCTATGATTCTTCTTTGACGTTAATCTTAAATATCAATCAAAACTATACTATAGTTCCAAAAAAAAAAAAAAAAGAATGATGCATTTAATCACAATGATGGGTATATATTTAATATATGTTTTGAATATAATAGATTAGATCATAATCTATAAACCAATCTTTGCCTTTGCTTTTGAGATTTTGTTGACAAGAGAAGTGAACAAGAAAACTGGTGATCTTAGAAAAGACCAGGCAAGTCACCTATAACTCCAATTTATCTGCACATGGCTGGAAATTGATTCACTATTAATAAATGAGTAAATAACCATGCTTTTTGTTGGTGAAAGATCATGTAATTGGTATTCAGTAATTGAGCCTTGAGGAAGCTCAATTTCAAATCAATTTCTTCCAACATAGGTCATAATTTATTAATGGAGAAAAAAACCATGCAAGAATCCCAACCTTTTTCCAGTGTTAAACAATGAATTTTTCTTCTTGTTTTCTTTGCAATGTTTAATTATTCGGATAAGGCACAAATTTATCACTCTATTAATGTGAGTTGTTTAAATTCATTACTCATCTTTCAATACAATTTTATCAGAATACTTTTAATTTTGGAGTAAATTTATTAGTATATTTCAAATTTTTGAGCAATTGAAAATATTCAGTAGAAAATTCTATTAGAAATTATTTTATAATTTAAAATTTTTGAAAAAAAAAAAGATCAAGCTCAATTGGAAAAAGACAACATGATATTATATGTAGAAAATTCATGATAAAGCAAGAAAAAAATAAAATGAAAAATCCGAATTATGTGACATTATATTTAATAAAAGATATCATGATAAAAGAATTAAAAAAAAATCTAATTTAAGCTTCCTGGTTGGTTTTCCCTTGGGACCATCATTTTGAAAATTATTTTTTGAACAATGAAATAGTTTCTAATAGATTTTTTTTTTTGTTGAATATGCTTTAATTGCTCCAAAAATTGCAATATGATAGTAAATATGTTCCAAAATTAAACGTATTGTAATAAAATTACACAAATAAAAAGATTGATGGTAAATTTAAACTATTCCCATAGATAAATTTGCAACTTATTAGTAATTATTTGAACCTTAGCTGATTTAACACTTGAATCCAGGCATGTTTTATGGCATCAATGGAGCAGTACATCCAACTTCTACATTCAAAAAATTTCAAAGTCAATGGGGACCAAGCTAGCTATTTAGCCATTGTCTTGGTTAACAAGCTTAGCTTATCCTTCCCATTGGTGAACAAATAATTGTACCATCAATTTGCTCCAATTCCTTAAAATTTTAGTCAAAATGCATCATTATAGAATAAATAAGTAATGGTTAAACAAGAAGAAATTATTGTACTTTAGAAATCAAAAGGAAACAAAAGAAGTCAAAACATGAACCTAATTTGAAAAGCTATCAACGGTTGAAAAATAGCGATCAGATAATCAACAAACCTAACCTAATTAAATTGGAATTAGATATATATGTATATATATATATTATATTTACAAATAAAAAATAAATATTAAATTTATTGAATATCATTTTTTTAAAAATAATTTTATAAACCAATTGAATTAAATTTTAACATCCAAATATTATATTTTTAAGCCACGTCCTCGGAAAAAAAAAACAATAAATATATTATATTATTTAAAAATGATTTCTTTTGCGTTGGGCCAAGTTGGGCCAAGCTATTAAGTCCAATGACATTTGGGTGAGGGTTGGGTTTCTATTTTAAGGCTAAAAGCCCACCCCATGGAAAACGTCTAGTCTGTTATATAATGAAAGGTTATGTGCCCAACAAAGTGGAATGAATGATAATATGGGGAAGTGATAGCAATGCACTCAACAAATTAATCTTCCAATCACCAAACTACAGAATAGGAACACTTGAAGCACAAGATTCGATCACATTTTGCTCAATTGTACAAGATAATGATTTCTATCAGTGGTAAGAGAAAACTAACTTCCTAACTAACAAAAGAGATTCTAAAGTTACATGCACAGAGAATACAACAGAGAAATAAAAAATAAAAAATAAAAAGATGCATCAGATGGTCCACCGAAGTGAGAAGCTCTGCATACATACGAGGCTGCCCTTTAGAGAACCAAGCCGAGATGGCAAAATATTAACCAGCAAGTTAAGGGATATATACCTCTGCACTCCCCTATTCTAAGTCAAACACCATTAGTTAGTATGCAATATTAAAGATTTCATCATCATGAACCAGCATCTTCACTTTCTGGAGCTTGATGTCCTTGATCAGTTGATTGGATGCCTAAGTTTACTTGATCTGTTATCAATGAAGCAGAATCCTTTTGATCCATACCAAGGGAATGATTTTCCTTCTTATCTGTTGCCGGTAGAGAAGAATCCGTTTGACCTGTTGCAGATGGGTTAGAGTCCATCAGATCTATCTCTGGCTGAGATGTAGTTGGCGGAGATGGATTTTTCTGGTCAAGATTGTTTTCAACACTTCCGTATTCTGAGAGGAGATCCATGAACTCATTAAGTAAACGCTGGACTTTTCTATTGGATGCCATTGCAGGAAGAACGTCTTCTCTTAAAAGTTTGTGTTTTCTCATTCCCTGCAAAGATCCAGATAGGTTTAGAGATAAAGAAGTGATTCTCCTTGGATAGTCTAGGATATGATGGAAAAAGATGCTCTAAAATCAATGGAGTACGGTATTTATAAAAGGGTGGGATAAAAGACTTACAAGCACACAAGGATCCCAAGCAGGATTCTTGGAATCCGAAGCCATTCCAGTTGGTGGCCCGAGAAAACTTTCACAGATTTCTCGCAAACGAGACTCATCTGCTTCTCTGCAAACACAAGCATGCATAGTTTGTCAATGATTTATTTTTATACTTGCATCCCAATAAGTGAGAGAACATTATTCTGCAGAAATACATAGATTCCAGGTTCTATTACAATCTACTGAATACAAGCTTTGCACCACTATTATTCTGCATCCCAATAAGTGAGAGAGAACATTATTCTGCAGAAATACATAGATTCTAGGTTCCATTACAATGTACTGAATACAAAATTTGCACCACTAGTAACAAAAAAGTATAAGCCTGTACACCGACAGAGAGAACATTATTCTGCAGAAATACATAGATTCCAGGTTCTATTACAATGTACTGAATACAAGCTTTGCACCACTAGTAACTAAAAAGTACAAGCTTGTACACTGACAAAGCTCCACAAGTTTTTTCTGCTATCATCACTCATAAATGCATTTGCTAGGGGAGAAAAACAAACCTTGCTAGGAAGCGTATGTAGGAAAGAAGGCTCTGGCGATATTCATTAGGGGATTTCAAAGCCAAAGACGATGCCAACTGAACTTCTAAATGAGCACGTGTCTGCACTCCATCATCAGTTACCCTGTGGCAAAACATGATGACAGGTGAAATTCTAGGATCAACACAATAAATAGAGCTTCTTAAAATAATTAAAAACTGGGATTTATTCAGAATTATTTCTTTAGCAGCTACTGTGTCAAAAGGAACTTTAGTAAGGGAAGAGGATAATTGAAATTCATGCCACCGACTGAGATAAGATGTCAAACAAATACTCGTATCAAAATTCTGATATGACTTCAGGATTTTAGGGCAAAAGAGTGTTAGCAACAAACCTACTCCAGCCTGGCTTTCTGGCCAAATATTTCCTGACATCCACCTGCAGTGCAGCTAGCTCACCAGCGTGAATTGAACCCAAATTCCAAGAACTAGAAAAATTTGATGCAGGGAAGCAGTCATCTGCAACCCTCAGCCAACACATGAGACTCATGTCAAACAGAAACGCATGCCGAGTAGCCAAAACAACAAGAGGAAAACCAGATTTTGATAACTTAGCAGATATAACTTTGATTGTGCCTGAAAATAGTTAAAAAAATGTTAGGAAATATGTGTAACATCCCACATGAGCAAGACACTATGAGTTGCCGGCCAAGTACTATGAAATAATAAGTCCTCTAAGATGATATGAAGGCTCAAATTATATTGAGTACATATACCTTTTGCAGACAAGCTAAGGTCCAAAGTGATTAGAGATGCTAATGAATCATGGAGGAGACAGTTCCTATTGAAGAGATCCCATAAATACAAAGATCCTTTCCTTGTGACCAGTAACAATTTCCAGCTTTCATCACAATCTATAAAGGTTGCTGCAGATCCCATCATCATGGTCGGCAATGCACGTCTTCCACACTTTGTATAAACCTTAAAAAACATAAGCAAAAAAGACTAAGGTACATTTGCCAAACAATTTATGAAATCTCATTGCAATAATTTGCCATGTATAATATCATAGAAGCACATGCAAGGCCCAAGTCTAAAGCCCACCCTTGAATTCAGCATGGTGAAATGCCTAGACAAAACCACAGTTACACCCCACCCCAGCAAAAATGAAAAAATAAAAAAAGGTGGGAAAAACCATGAATTTGATATAACGGAGCATGATACCTAACAAGAACATAAACAAATCATACAATTGTTGAATAGCAATTCCTATAGTTATTGTCCAATGACTGTCCAGAACAATTGCTAGAGGATAAAGAAATATAAATTCTGCCTAGCTAGGATCGAATGTTCTTTCTTACCAGTAGACACCCATCTTCACATCCAACAGCCCAGAAGTTTGCATTTCCAGCTAAAACAGAGACTTTTCCTGAGATACGATCAGACCAAAGTGTTTGAGACCCTCTTGTGCAAACAATGTCTGTTTCTTTCATCATACTTGCATTTCCCACACCCACACTGTCATTCAGAGCATGTTCCTGAGGACAAGCTTCCAAGCAAACTGGAGTCATATCCCCACCTTCTTTCTTGTCAAATACCCTAATTGAAAGAGATGTGGTAGAGCATACGGTAGAACCTGAAGGCATCATTCTTCCAGACTGTTCTACATTGATGCTATGATCTTGGCCAGCAGAGACTGGAACCTTCTCAACAACCAGGCTGTCACTAACAGTAGCCTTAGCAGTGACCCCTGAGCGATCCTTTAAGTCAGAGCTTCTGCCAATGGTTCCCCTGACAGAAACTTCTCTTGAACTAAAATCAGTAGGAACTATGCCATTATCATTTTTTCTAGGATCAGAAGATGCAACAGGGAAGTCTAATGCTTTATTCTCCTGCTGAATAGGCACACCTACTGCTTCAGGAATGATCCTCTTTCTACCATCAGCACGTCTGTATTCTCTTTGTTCCACAGGACTAGAAATCCGGGCAGAACTCAATGCTTTATTTAATCCGTTACTAGCAGCAAGCCCACTCTTCTTTCCATCATTATTCTGAGGCTCATAATTTTTGTTTGTGACCCCCAACTCAACAGAAGATTTTACAGATATCTGGTTCTGCTGAACATCCAACGCTACTTTTTTGCTAGTGGTTTGCTTGGCTGAAGCAGCTTCAAGCAATAACTGTGCTGGGCTCTCCACCAAATTCGCCTGTCGACCTCTGATGTCACCATAACGACCTCTCTTTAACTCATCCAGTTCAGCATCACTTAGCCTGTGGCCAAGTTCTTTCACTTCAAAATGGAAAGTAGCAACTGTCCCATCCAATGAACAGGCAAAGAGAGAATAGCCATCAGAGCTCCTGTTTATGGAAAGAGATTACTATTAAGAGATAAATTTAAAAATGGCATAAGGAAAAAAAGGCTAGCGCAACACAAACAAATGTGCACATCAATGACAGAAAAAAAAATCCTTCACTAAAATGAAAATTTTACCAGGATAAATCCACAACACTTTGACTAAAGAAATGTTTGGCTACAAAGAGTGGGCGAGGACTTGCAGTTGTCCACACAGTTATAGTGCGGTCCTGACTCCCAATTGCAATTACATTATATGGCTGTGATTCTTTCCCTCCAATCTTAGGAGCTCCATTTGCCCAGCCAACAGGTGTAGCTTTCGTTTCCTGTGAATTGGCAAAATTCCTTCTGAACATCGAGCGATTAAACTTCACTACAATAACCGGCGCATTGTGTCCTAAGAAGTCAAATGTGGCAGCCCATTCCCCTCTCTCTAGAACAGGTGCAGAATGCCTTGGCTTTTGGTAACCATGAGTGGTAGTTATGAAATGGCCACAAGGTGACCATCCAAGCCGCCTGAAAAATGTAGATCCCAACTGAAACGAACATGTTTCCATCAGAAAATGATACAGAATATAAGACCAAAGAAAATTCCATCTACACAGATAAACATACTGATTTCGCCCAGTGGCCCTCTGTTCTATGAGCAAGACTCCAGTCACTTGTTCGCCATATTATGACTGTCTTGTCATCAGATTGACTTGCTATGAAGGACCCAATGGGATCCCAGGCAACTCCTTTAACAAGACTAGAATGACCCCTCAGCACAGCTGTGCAGATGCCATTACTCATATTCCATATGTGAATGGTGTTGTCCAAACTTCCGCTAGCCAATATTGAGTCATCAGGAGACCAATTAAGATCCACCTACTTCAAGCGCAGAATAAAAGAAACTTCTCAGTTGGATAATATCCAGTGCTTATCGGAAAGCAATACCTTAAATTAAGGGGGCTGCATATGACATAACAGTTGAGGATTTTGACCTTGTATTCTTTCTCCTTTACCTTCTTCCCAACCCTAAACCCCCAACCCCTCTTCCCTTCTTACCAAATCAAAATAAACACATACTTAAAAAGTGCAACCATTAGCAAATGTGTACTGAGAAAATGTTGCAAAAACTGAGTTTCAAAGTAAAATTAGATGCTTTTTCAAGAATGAAAAATCAATCAACATGCAGCACAACAAAACTAACTACAGGATCGAGAGAGTTGAGCTCTTTATCAGTGGCTATATGTCCCAACATACAAAACAATATCATTACCACATCTGCAGTGTGTCCCCTCAATGTCATTGCAACTTTCCAATTTTCAACATCTGGAGGCTCTCCGCTGCCGAACTCAGTAGTCCCAGAACCAGGCTTTCTCTCATGAATTAGAACCACTTGATCATCAGACCCAGATGCAACAAATCGACCATGCTTAGCCCACCTAACACAGTTAACAGACCCAAAATGATCACGCAAGGTTGCAAGAAGCCTCTGTGTAGATTCATCATTTTCCAAGTCCCTGCCAACAGATTTCATGTTCCATATTCGAACCTACATTTAAGGTGACACAAAAACAGTGATATTCAAGAACAAAAGATAATATACCAATTTACATATACACAAACAGATGATGCTGTTTGTCAGCAAAATTAGATAATCTCTGGTCATATCATTGTAGTCTTACGCATGCTATGCACAGAAAAAATCTGAAAATGCGGTCACCTCCACCAGAAGCAAACGTAAGCCAAAAGAGAATATAAAGAGTAGTAAGAAGGAAAGTTTTACCTTGTGGTCACCTCCACCAGTAGCAAACCTAAGACCACCAGGCTGAACATCAATGGAGAAAATCTGCATTCCCTCATGCCTAACCCAACTTGGCTTTTCAGCAATCATCTTCCTCTTCTTTTGCTACTTCACAGAACCCTTCCAAATTCTGCTTCTTTTTTCACTATGTTTGGTGAAAACTCAAACAAAGACTAGTAAAGTTCATAGCTTTTCAACAAGGAACAAGAAAAACCCAATCCACAACTTAGAATGGAAATTAAAGCTAAAAGTTCTTAGCACACAAAACCCAGTTGTCTAAAATGACCAAAAACCAAAAAAAAAAAAAAAGGAAACTTTACCTTGTTTTAAAAAAAACCAGGCTGGGAAAATATGGAAATTAAGGGTTTTTGAAGTGCTTAAAAGTGAAGAAGAAGCAAAGGTCGGAGTGTGGTTAATGGGAAGAGAAAACAGAGGTAAAATAATTATATAAAAAAATATTACTTATTTTTTCTTATTCTAAAACTCAACCAAAAAATGCTAATCAAGGGGTTTTTTCATTTTTTTTGTAAGAAGAAAAGCCCTAATCTCGATTACAAGGAAGGCAAAAAGGTTAACAAAAATTAAAAAAAAAAAAAAACACCCTAGAGGAGATCAAAAAGGATAAAAGTTGGTCTCTTTCAACGGTCAAAATTCCTTCTTAGAAGATTGTGAGAAGTGTCATAGACACGAAAGACTGCGAAAGAAAAAGAGACTAAAATGATTATTTATAAATTTTAAAAGAAAAAGAAAAGAATATAAACAGGCTCCATTTACTATATATACACGGAAGGGACAGAAACAAAAAAAAAAAAGAAGAAAAAGACAGAAACAAAAGATAGATAAAAATGGTAAGATAAATACATAAGAAAAAAGAATTTGCTTTCTTCATATAAATGAGTTAAATTATAGAAGTTGGATGAATTGATAAAATTTAATGAAAGATAATATAAATTTTCACTAAAATAATATACTTTTGATTTCGTAAATTTAATACAAATTTTGGTCAAAATAAGATATTTGACTTTTAAAGTGAAACTCTCATTAATTTTTATGCACCACAAAAATACTAAAAGAAGCTACTAATACGACTTAAGAACATAAAAATTATCACATTTAAAAAATAATAATAATAATGAAACTTTGAATAAAAGCTTCATTCTAGTATTTTTTGTAAAGGAAGTACAAAATTACATCTGATTCAAGTGTCATGAAGTAAAAATATTAAAGAACTGACTAATGTCCTTTGTATTTTTGTATTCCAAAACAGCATTCATGATTAAGGAATTGAATATATCTTCCCTTGAAATATGTCAAAAGATGAGGCAAACTTGAGAGTTGCTACTCAAAGACATCATCAAGCATCAAGTAAACATTTCATACTAGTAGTGGTTGGTAATTATAAGCATACACTTCCCCCTCCTATCTTTTCCCTCCATCCAACCATACCCCTAACAGTAGACAGCCATAGCAAATGCTCCAAATGATAACCAGACTTGGCAGAAAAAGGGCACAACTCATATTCATGCATTTTAAGCCAAATTTCTTAGCAATCTTCTTTACACCAAAAGAAAAAAAAGTAATTAAGTGTCAAACATTCGACCCATATGCATACAGGAAAAGGGAAGGCAAGTCACCTTCCCAGCTTGGTGAAGCTAAATAGAGAGAATTCTTTGGATGATCCAGCAGTTATTAATAAAATACAAATGACAGTAATTGCACCCCCAACTAATGTAGAGCAATGTCACAATTTCATCAAATCCATCAACCTTCCTCTCCAAACTCCTTTGTAAATCTTTCATGGACCTCGAGATCGGCTTTGCTCACCGTTGGCCTCTGTCTTGCTAGCACCTTATCAAAATCTGATCTTGAAATAGGAGGTGGAAGGATCTGCAGGGCATTAATCAATGGAAAAGAAATTTTAATTACTTCAAATGTCACAATTGACTAAACAGGTACATTTATCGTATAACAGAAATATAAACCCATCTTGGATGTAGTAAATAACTAAATATACACTCCATACACTTTATCTCAATGCATTCTTCAGAAGCCAGAACAAATTCACACTAAAAAATCACAAAATAAAGGGATCTACAAATGTATACAGAAGCAGAGGGACACAAAGGTAAGAACTCAAACACTTTCTATCACAACCAACTCTATACCTGTGCCGCAAGTCCTTTGGCAGCCAATTCCTGCATGGTAATTTGGACAGCACCTGGTTGCTTTGGTCCACATGGTATCCACATATCATTAGGTGTCTTAAAGAAAAACATGGCATCTTGGGTTTTACGAACAGGTTCAAAAAGAACATCCTTAACCTGTCAAGATGTAAACAATTAAAAAAGCACACAAGTGAACCACTCTATATTGGCCCTTCATAGTAAGACTCTGTCTTGAAGAAGAAGAGATAATGATCAAGCATCTCTCATATAGGTGTTGCACTTACACAAACAGATATGTCTGACCCTGAAAACCCCTCAGTCCGGCGAGCTAAGTTTTCAAAATCACTTTCAGTCAAGTTGTGAGGAGTATCACCTAAATGCACCTGTCGTAATTTATTTTACAGGCAGCCATGTCAAAAACAAAAGTGACTGAATGGTTCTATTGTGTAAAAGAAGACCAGACAACCAAGCATTTTCTTTCTCTTTTTTCTCAATACTTTGAAGGACAATATTAGGGATAAGGTCAAGTACTTTGAACATATGCTGCCGAGCCTTCAAATCTGGGAGAGGAATATAAATACGCTTGTCAAAACGACGACGGATGGCCTAAAAGGACAAATGATTAGTAAAGGATACCCATCTATGCCGATCCAAGATGAATATATGAAAATTATAATCTGATATTCTCCTTTACCTGATCAAGTGCATAGGGAGTATTTGTTGCCGCAAGCACTAGGACTTTCTGATCATTATGTCCAACACCCTGAAGTAAAAAAGCACAAGGTATAAAATTCATTCATTAAGCTTGAAATCTTGGAAGGAATCGTATATTTATTTGTCACAATCTAGCACAAGCATCAAGTAAGATATGAGCACTGTCTAATATAAATACGGCAACATGGAAATTCTCAAAAATTTAGGATAAAGATCTTAGCATGCTGCAGAATAGAGCAATAAAAAATATCTTACATAAATATATATTGAATAACCTCTAAATAATATACACTTAAAAGTCTTTCTCAGTATATATGATTTGGGCAAAGAAACTAATTTCTTGAAAAGCTTTGGGCAAAGAAATTTTAAAATTCTTCTTAGCACTTTCACCACACTGACAAATACCTGCATCTGCACAAGAAGTTCAGTTTTGATACGTCTTGATGCTTCACTCTCGTTGCCCTCACCACGCTGGCCACACAAAGAATCTATTTCATCAATGAATATGATAGAAGGAGCACTATCACGAGCCATCTGAAAAAGGTTTGAAACCAGCTTTTCACTTTCCCCCATCCACTTTGAGACAAGGTCCGACGAAGAAACGCTAGCAGAAAAAGAAGGAGAAAAGGGATTAAGTTTTAAAAGAGAAACAAGCAGAAACCTAATAAACATGCACATAAAGAGAGCAAATGTATATAGAAGATTAACTACCACAAAAATGTTTGAAAAGATAACCAACTGTGTGCCAGAAAGGCAAACTTATCATTATATATTAATATCAATAACTTTCACAAATGATAGCCTAGGTTTACAATCTCAAAAGAAGAGCAGGACACATAATTTTCATGTCTTTATGGGTGACAAAGATTACAAGATGATGAAACTTAAGACCAATTGTTACACATAATATAAACTGATAATCACAAGAGAGATATAGTTTGAGTGCATCAAACTAAATTGAGGAATGAAGAGCAAGCATGACCAGAATTGACAGGCAGTGGCTAAATGTCTAACTTCAATAACATGGAAGTTGTCAGCACAATTGCTAACTTATCTTCAAGATTACATTTGATTTCCCAACATCAATCCTTACTTCCCAGATATAATTTGTTTTAAAGCATATGCTTTAATATTACAGGAAGTCACAAATCCCATAATGCATCTTTCTGACTTATGCTAAAATATAACAATGAAATAGCAGGATGCAACCACAGACACATTTCTAAAACTCCCAGATGCTCTGCAATTACAAACTACACTTAGCAAAGTGCAACCTTAAATTATGTGCAAATGAAACCACAACAAAAGACCTTCACATCACTGGACATTATACATTGTATTGCTATAATAATTATACATGCCAAGGCTGATTCTACTACAAAATCCTTACAGTTGTTATTTCATTTAGTACTACTATTATTTCTGTAATTAACATAATTACTGTTACTACTTGATGTAGGAAAGATTTTGGGTAATCTGTCAATGTCATTATTTTGGGGGACTTGGGGTTTGCAATAAGGAAAACTACATTTCTAGAGTAGAAGGCAGTTAAGGTTAGAAGATGAAATAGAACTTTGATGTGATCAGGTGTTAGGGTAGAAGAGCAGCCAGAACTGATTAACCTGGTTGCTGAAATTCTCGATGGCAGCAAAATTAGGATTTACTTGCTTGTTTGAAAGCCTTAGCAGGAGGACTTGGAGTCAAAATACGCAAGATTTAGAGTGTAAAAAGTATAATAAACAGGATTTGATTATATTGCAACAGAGAACAAGAAACATGATAAAAGGATGTCGTTAACCATGGCATCAACAGTAATCCAAAAGCAATGTAGTAACGGAGATGATGAAAAGACAAAGAAGATCACAAGAAAGGATAGCACAGTTGCCTTAGGCATCCATGCTTAGTAAACAAAATGCACATAATTACATAAATCATAAGCCTAGAGAAATATGCATATTAGATTGGTATTTAAAAATACTCCGAGATTATTTCTTAAATTCACTAGGACTTGGATTCATGACAAAACTACAAGCAAATAATCATCTTAGATTCCAAGAAACCAACCTAAAAGCTTAGAAACCCCTAGACTAATATAAACTCAACAAAGTAAAACAATAAACCCAGGCTTAAAGGAACTGTAAATTATAATTCTACTCCCGAATAAGAAAATCCCTAGAATTCATGATACACAATTGTAGATTGTGAAAATAGAATCACATAAAAGTGACGGAGCTCTGCAATGGCTGCATCACCATTATTTGGTGATAGATATCATAACACAATTCACACACAACTATTCAAGCAGCACCAGTAAATTTCACTTAACAGAACAACGTGGAACTGACGTAAAGGTAGGACTTTGCACTACATAAAGCCAATAAATATTAACAGATCAAAGAATTTTTGTAGCAGATGTAAGCCATAACCACAATATGTGAACACCACCACCTATTTGCCAATGCAATCCTATATTGGAGTCTTTACTACCGCCACCTCTCCCTTTCTCCAGATAAAAGGAAAGTGGTGGCTGCATCACAAAGGAAAGACTAACATGTTAATTTGACCTCGTTCCCTTTATTTTCATGATTCAATATGCATCTTCAAATTTAACAAAAGTGAAAAAGGCTTCAAACGTAGAAGATGATTATTGAATGTTTTCTTATGGGCAGATAAAGATGTCAAATATGTGCCAATCAATATATTACCTAAAAAATGTAGAGTCTGCTTCAGTTGCAACAGCCTTGGCCAAGTATGACTTCCCAGTCCCAGGTGGTCCATACAACAGAAAAGCTCTCCACGGCCTTCTCTTTCCTAAAAGAGAACAAGTAGGAACACTTTAACAAAATTAATCCAATTATATCCCTGCATGTGTAATGTTAAAATGAAACTGAATAGAACTGCTGAAAAAGCAGGTAAAAGGAGAGTACAGATTAGATTCAGTGAGTTTCTCTCCTCATCAGAACTCCATAATACAGTTCAAGCAAACATAAAACAAAAGTAGTTCAATCATACCAACTTTACCTTATAGCAAGGCCACGAGGATATCCAAAGACATATCATAGATTATACGAGGAAATTTTCAGATAGACAACAATGAGCTGAGTATCGAGTTGAATTCAGCAAATCCTACTTGAAAATTATAACAGAATCTAAAATAAATTTTAAAATTTTTTACTTTAAAACCTTATTAATTTTG